TCCTTCTGTTTATTTTGTGGTTTAATTTGTCCTTTCCCAGTGTATTAAACCTTAATGCTTAAAGCCGCTCTAGGTCAAATTGATTTGAGAACTTTTCTTTTTTAAGTTTCTTCCTTTCTTCAATACAAATGCTTAATGTCATAATTCTTTCTTCCATACTTCACTTTAGTAGCTTTGTATCATACAAATTTTATATGTTATGTTCATTTTATAGTTTGCAAAATAATTTTTCTCCCCCATCTAGATTTTTTTTATTTGAGCTGCTTTAGAGCAGCTAGAAGTGTGTGTGCTATTTCATTTCCAGCAAGAATTACTTTCTGGAAAACAGCAGTATCTTTTCTGTGTTTATATTTCACAAATTAAAACATAGACGTCATAAAAGTACCACACTTCCGTGGATCTGAATTCCTCTTTCTTTTTTACATTGAGTTTTGAGATTTGTTTCATGGCTCACGCCACAGTTCTGACCTTTTGCAAGGCCTTTGATCTGCTCCTCATAATGATCTTCACCTGACAAGAGTGAAATATTTTTCCATATTATTAGGTCAGATTAATATTGTGCTTGTGTCTTCTCTTTATAATCTTACTGACTTTTCATGTCATGCCATGTGTACTTTTCCATTCCCATTGCATATTGAGAGAAAGATGCTATGAAATCTTTTCTTGTCTTCAATGTCTGAACGTTTATACTCTAGAACTTACAGTGGTTTTACTTTTGTTGGGCGACTTTTCTTGTGGTTCTAATCCAACCGAATGCAGAGGATGGGCAAAAGCAAACAGGCGGAAGCTGCCTCCCAGCTTGCTCAGAGACCCTCCATCACCCTGCCACCAAGTTTGTGATGTGCCCACTAGCATCTCATTGTGGTCAGCAGATTTTTGGCCCCTACAGATTCGAGTTGTTTCATACATCACAAAACCTCCAAGGGAAGTTCAGCAGAGATATCTGAGCTCCCTACAAAACACTGGTACAGCACAGTACTCCCATCCAACTCCAGCCTGCCTTTTGAAGCCCCAGAACTCAATAAGCAACTACTTCTTCCTTCCCATGAGACCACGGCTCTAGTCTTCCTAAACTCCACTTTCTGTGGTGAAGTTTGTGGGGAAAGGCTCTTAAATATAGAAGTCCATGCAACCCGTAGAACCAGCCACTTCTTGCAGGCAAAGAAAGTGCAGCAGCCGAAGGTAATCAATAGCTAGTTTGTTGAACAATGAGTGAAGGAATTCAATGGGGGGATCCGCACACCTGCCTGTTAGCTGGGAAGGTTTGAAAAAGCAAAAATGGCTCGCCGCCTGAAGAAGGGCAGCCTGTATAAGCTGAATAATGATGATGATGTGGATGATGGGAATGCTGCAAGTCCTAAGCAAAACATGTGGGGAACAGTTTGTTCAGTTCAGAAGAAAGAAGAAACCAATTGCACCGCCACACTAGGGGTAAACCTCATGTGATCATTTTCTCCTTTTCCTATGGGGAGCTTCTGTTTAATGGGCAGCATGATGCAGCAACAGAGGCGCCAGCTCAGTGGTGCTGTGCTGGGTGTCCAAATATTTTAATCACATCCCCATTAGTAAGTGTATCATGCAATTCAAATCATCCTTCTCCCCATAATATAAATAAAGCATTATTTATTTATAAATTATTTCATGTATCATAATTGGCTTTGTAAAGTCTCTGGGCACAAATGGCAACATAACTCTGATGTAAGAGTTTTTTTGACATAAGGATAGGTAAACAATTCATTTTCTTAAATTATATTCTGGTCATCCACGCTATGACTGGTTTTGCCATAATCATATCCGAATATGAAAAACAAAGTGTGAATTCTGTAAATAGTGATGAAACACCTTGAGATGTTCTAATATTTAGTAACTTGTTCCCTTACTTCTCCATGATTTCTATTGGGACATCATATGCTTGAGACTCCTTGGCTTAGGAAAGGTCAGCCAGGTGCTTCTCAAGTGGCCTGGCTGAGGTCAGCACCTGGCTTCCTGTGGAGAAGTGCTGCCAACTCTCCCAGCCACAGAGCTAAGCCTGAGCCTGCATCCCCAACTGCCTCCTATAGGAAGGTGCAGTGGCAGTGTAAGCCAGTGTAACGAGGCAGTTTGAACGCAAGCCTCGCAGCCCTCGCAGGAAACCCTGGTTGCGCTTGCATACTAGCTGGTCATGGACCTGAGTACAAGTTATATTCTGTGATCTCAGCACCCTGTGATGCAAACACAGGTCCTAGCTCCCCACTTAATCCCACTCCTTTTCCTCAAGAAGTGATCAGCAGCTAGCTTGCCTCTAAAAATGACTTATCCATTGAATGCATTCTATGTGGTTTCTGAGTGCAGAATGAGCCAGTTTTTCTGGAGCTTCCCTTGAAGCCTTCTTGGATCTATGGGCGAATGTGTAACAACTTAAGTTGAAGATTAATTGAGATGGGCACATAACTATAAAACTAATATTTTCAGGCACATCCTCTCTCTACCTGCAGCTTCTCTGGCTTGTTTCTTTTTTTTCTTTTTTCTTTGGGAGATTTTGGGAGTTCCCGCTCTGTCGCCCTGGAGGCTGGGAGTGCAGTGGGCCGGATCTCAGCTTCACTGCAAGCCTCCCGCCCCTGGATGGCCCATTCTCCCACCCCAGCCTCCCGTGGTGGCTTCACTGCAGCCAGGCGCTGCCACCCCCCGCCTGTGGCTGGGGTTTTTTTGTGTATTTTTAGGTGGTGAGACGGGCCTAACTGCAGCAGCTACAGTGGATTATCTCTACTCTCCCACCTGCCTCAGCCTCCCGAGTAGCTGGGACTACAGGCGCCTGCCACCTCGCCCGGCTAGTTTTTTGTATTTTTTAGTAGAGACGGGGTTTCACCGTGTTAGCCAGGATGGTCTCGATCTCCTGACCTCGTGATCCGCCCGTCTCGGCCTCCCAGAGTGCTGGGATTACAGGCTTGAGCCACCGCACCCGGCCGGCTCTCAAGTTTTATATGGGGCGTCAGAATCCATGGGAAACTGGGTGAAATAAACGTTCTGCCCCGACATCCTCACACCCCGTCCCACCCCATTCCTCCCATCCCACTGCATCCCTGATTCTGAATCAGAGTTTCTGGGGTGGAGGCCCACAATCTACATTTATTTATTTATTTATTCATTTATTTAGAGATGGCGTCTCACTGTGTTGCCCAGGCTGGAGTACAGCGGTACAATCTCAGCTTACTGCAACCTCTGCTTCCCAGGTTCAAGCAATTCTCCTGCCTTAGCCTCCTGAGTAGCTGGGATTACAGGTGCCGGCCACCCTGCCCAGCTAATTTTTGTATTTTTAGTAGAGATGGGGTTTCACCATGTTGGCCAGGCTGGTCTTGAACTCCTGACCTTGAGTGATCCACCCGCCATGGCCTCCCAAAGTCCTGGGATTACAGGCATGAGCCATCACATCTAGCCCGGCAATCTGCATTTTGAGGGACTCCTGCCTGCTTGCACTGCACCAGCCTGTGTATACCACCTGCCACATCAAGTACAGAGTCTTGCACTTGCAAGCGTTCAAAAGAAAACAAAAGGGCAAGACAGGAGAAAGCAAGCAAAACAAAGGGCCTGTGCTCCTGCAGGTCAAACAATCCCCAGCCAGGCTACTCAGCACACCACCCACAAGTCAAGGCTTGCCAGCCCAGCCTAGCCCAGCCCTGCTGGAAAGTTCGCTGTGGTCAGACCATGTTTTTCAGCTCTCTGCTCTCCTCTCCCATGGCTCTGTTTTGACAGGTGTATCCAGGGCTGGTGCAGCAGAAGTTGTCAGTTCAGCCCTGGCTAGGGACGAGCTGGAGGGAGGGCAGAAGGCTTGCCCAGCCCCCTGTCCTGCTGGGGTTGGAGAGGTAGTGAGGTCGCTGGGGTGAAATGAGTGAGCCGGCCTAGGGTTTTTAGAGGCATTCAAAGGACATGGGCCAGGTCTGTGGCTTCCAACAAGCCCCTGCTCTCCTTAGAAGGAGCCCAGGCAGCCTGGCGCGGTGGCTCACTCCTGTAATCCCAGTACTTTAGGAGGCCGAGGTGGGTGGATCATGAGGTCAAGAGATCAAGACCATCCTGGCCAACATGCTGAAACCCTGTCTCTACTAAAAATACAAAAATTAGCTGGGCACGGTGGCACATGCCTGTAGTCTCAGCTACTCAGGAGGCTGAGGCAGGAGAATCGCTTGAACCCAGGAGGCAGAGAGCCAAGATCATGCCACTGCACTCCAGCCTGGTGATACAACAAGACTCCATCTCAAAAAAAAAAAAAAAAAAAAAAAAAAAAAAGGAGGCCCAGGAGTGACTTCAGGGCTTTGCAAGTCTGGTGGGGATTAAAATCATCCCAATGGTGAAGGCTCGGCTTCTAATCTGGGGACTGAAATTCTACTGGCTGTTACCACTCAATGTGGGTTCAGACTTCACTGGGGCAGGAACACAAGAAATATGTGGTAAGAGGCCTCCTGAGGATCCTCACCAATAGGAAAGTAGCCTGAGAACTGGATCTACCACTAGCCAGAGACACCAGACCAGAGTTCCAGCCCCAGATGTGCAGCAAACCCCTCCACTGCTCTCAGTCCTTGGTTTGTCCCATGAGAAGTCAGACTTGAGCCTCAGACCCCCCTGCCCCCGATCCCTCCCAGTTCTCACAGTTCAGGGAGTGTGAAATGAGACATGCAGGGGCTGGTGTGCTGGCCACTCACCTGCAGAGGATCATGGAGCACACCCACTGTGGCCCAGGAGGCTCTTCACCCATATAATAAGGACCACCTTGACAATGGCTGACGTTTATGGTGTGTTGAATATTGTCAGGTGCTGCGGATATCTCAGGTGTCAGTAGGGAGGAGGGACCTCATGCTACACACTACAGAGGAAGCGGTGAGGTCCATGTGAGGCAGCCATGTTTGGCCCCATCCTCACTCCCATGCCCTTTTGCTCACTTCCTCAACTAAGCACCAACCCACCACAAAAAAAAAAAAAAAAAAAAAAAAAAAAAAAAAAACCCAAAAACAAAAAACAGGGCCCCAGGCTTGCACTAGGTCACATTTATTTTGCCAGTAAGTGAAGCTGCTGTGCTGACTCACAGAGGATCCAGCTATCCTCTTCCGTAATCCGCAGACCCTGCCAAGCCAGGCCCCTTGGGGCAGGTCTGGCCTGGTCTCTGCCTCCTTTCCTGTTCTATCTCCTTGTCTTGGAGACAAAAGCCAGAAGCAGGAGGTGTCACTCACATGTCCAGGCCTGCCCTGTTTTCTAATCTTGTTTTAGCCAAAGAGCTCCAGGGCCAAGCTGCAAGATGCACGGGGCTTACCATTTCCCGCTCTGTTCCTGCTCTCTCCAGGTAATTCCCTCAGACACTCTTGGTCCCTGGCCGAACTCAGTGTTTCGAAAATGAGGTTAGACCCAACTCCACAGTGAGATCGAATTTCTGGGGGACCCTTGTCACTAGTTCTCCTTCAGAGGCTCACCTGGAGGGCAGCCCTGAAGGCATCATGCCCCCAAGTCAGGCAGAAAGGACTCAAAGACACCTCGCTCCTGGAAATAGCTGTTTACTGAGTCAGTAATACTATGCAGCATGGTATTATCATATGTGGACAGGAGAGTTACATGGCCAAGGGGTGTGCGGTGCAAACCAGTTGCACATCCAGGACAGTCAGGAAGGTGCAGAAAGGCTTTGGGCAGGGAAGAGCTGTTCTCTGGGTCTGTGTTGGGAAGGAGAAACTCTATGCCCTCACCCTGGGTGGGACGGGGGGTCTGAATCTGTTTGAACATAAAGGCAAAGCAGCTTTAGAGCAAAGTAGTCAAAGGAGACCTCCACCCTGCGGGGTGACTTCCCAGCGCCCCGCTCTGCCAGTGTGTGCCGGAAGTTGGTGGGTGCCAAGGAGTGATGACACGGGGGGCCTCTGTGGGTGTCCAGGCCCTTCCCACTCCTAGCCCAGCTGGCTGCCCATGAAAAGAGGGCTCGGGCCATTGTGGGTCCTGGTGGGACAATGTCAGCACACAGCTGTGATCAGGAGAGCTGAGTGCAGGAGGTGAGAGCTGCCCTGTTGCAAGGGGTTGGCCCTTCTGCAGCTTGTTCCTCCCCACCACTCCAGCGGAACTCCCTTGGGGAATGGGGCAGGCCAGCCTCAGGGACAGCAAGGGAGGCAGCTGTGCAGAGAGAACCTTCTGGCCTGCCTCTGTCTCCCATCTCCACTCAGGCCCAATGTTTCAGGGCCTACAGAGTGCCCCCGTACAGATGAAACTCCTGCTTGGATTCCTTCCAGGCTGCTCCTGAAGGGCAGAGGCAAGGATGAATTGAGGAATTTTCTGGACATGTAAAGAAATAAATGTTGAACTTCTCAGGGGGTGCTGTGTGCAAGGCCAGAGAATGTCGGCCTCGTGGCCCCACTGTGCTGTGACAGACAGGGACAGCTCCCGGGTGTGCTGTTCCCTTGCTTGTGGGGAGGGTCTGGGGTTGCCAGGTCCACTTTGCCTCTGGAGTTTTGGCAGTAACACCCACCCGCAAAGGTTTCCTTGGGGCTTTTTAACCCCGGGGAGCCCTGGGAAACTGCTGGTCAGCATGGGTGCCCAGAGACAGATGTGAGATCTTCCTCCCGAGGTAGCTGCCTCCCTGGCAGGCTCAGTCACAGGAGAGGGGGGTCTTCCTCTGCCCTCTCCTCCTGCCCAGCCAGGGAAACCCAGTTGGCCCACCTGACCAGCAGAAAAATCTGTGTATGTGCATGTGTATATGTGTGTTTGTGCGTGCGCATGTGTGTGTGTGTGCATATGTGCCTGCATGTGTACTGTGCACGTGTGTTTATGTGTGCATGTGTGTGTGCATGCATGTGTATGCGTGCATGCGTGTGTGCCTGGATGTTCTGCATGTGTGCGTGTGCATGCATGTGTATGTGTGTATGTGTGCATGCATGTGTGCATGTGTACATGTGTGTGTGTGCATGCGTTTGTGTGCATGTGTGTGTGTGCATGCGTTTGTGTGCATGTGTGCATGCATGTGTGAGTAGGGGCTGCTTTCCTATGGTACAGTTACTAAGGGGGAGCCCAAAGCTGCAGGGTCAGCCCTGGGGAACCCCCTCGTTGGAATCAGAGGACCACAACTGTCTGTAGGTGAGCCTTTCTGGGGCCTGGATCTGCTCGGTGCCCCTCCGGCATTCTGTGTGACAGTGTCTCCACCCCAGCCCTCCTCAGTAGAAGCTCTGGCTTCCTGGTGGGCCTGGAGGCCCAGGGAGACCAGGGGGACCCTGGATCCCTGGTTCACCCTTAGGCCCCATGGCTCCCCGCTGGCCTGGTGACCCTGTCTTCCCTGCGATCCCCGGTTTTCCCTGAGGCCCTGAGGGCCCTGGAGACCCTGGGGGCCCTTCTGGCCCTGGGGGCCCTATGTCCCCTTTTGGGCCTGGCTGTCCTCTTGGCCCTCCTGTTCCAAAGCTGCCCTTTGAGCCTTTGAGGCCTGGGAACCCTCGAGGGCCAACAGGGCCCCTCTCTCCCACAGGTCCGGCTTCTCCAGGTTGCCCCTGAGGACCCTGGGATCCCGGGGGGCCCAAGCTGCCGGGGTCTCCTTTTGGGCCTCTGCCGCCAACAGGCCCTTTCACGCCCATATCTCCTTTGAGTCCTCTTGGTCCTGGAGGGCCGGGGGCACCTGAGGTTGGAAAGAAGATGGGAGAGGTCAGTCTTTGAGGGGCTCCCCACCCGAGGCTCGCCCACGAGCAGAGCGGGCACGGCGACAGCCTGAGGGCTGGACAAGCCCAGCAGACACTCATCTCTCACTGCAAGGCTTGCCGATAGCTCCACACACACAATGAGGTTAGGGACCGAGGGGCTGGTCAGCTTCAAGAAGGGGCCAAGGTTGTCCAGGATTGCCTGTCCTGCTCTGAGGCTGGTCTGACCTCCTTCTCATGCATAGTCTTTGACCACTGTATTCACCCCTACCCCACCCCCATGACTTCTCAGACATTTGGGAACAGGGTTGGAGTCAGGTCACATGGAGGAGAAAACCAAGAAAGTGTGGCATGAGAAATAGTTGTGTCCCACTGTGAGTAAGCAGGCACAGTGACAGCCCAGAAAAAGGTGAGTACCTCCAGGAAGCCCACCCTGATCACCCAGCCTCTTCACTGAGCTCTTAAGGCTACTACGTTGTGAGTCTTTTCATTGACACATAGAAAGAGAAGTCACCGCACAGTGAAAGCGAACACTGGATACTATCTGGCGGGCCCTGCTAGACTGTGCAGCCCCAGGAAGATGGCAGGAGCCACGGCTCACATCCCAGCCCTGGACACAGGGAGCCTGGCATGCAGTCAGGAAAACTCAGTATGTGCTTGAAGAGGGTGATTCACCAAGCAGCCATGGACCCTCCTTTGAGCCTGGCTCTGCATGAGGGCCTGTGGGAGATGCCAAGATGAAGATACGGCCCTTCCTTAAAGAGCCCTGTCTAGCGCCCAGGACGGGTCTGATGACCTCACGTCCTTCTGGCTGTGTGGGTCTGAGAGTCTCCACCCCTCATAGCTGTGCCAACCCTGAGGACACAAGGCAGAAAGTGGGCCTCTCGGGGGAAGGGATTCTGTATGCTGGGAGCTGGGAGCCCTCCATTGCCGTATCCAGTTCTGTGGCACAGGCCCCTTCATCCTGGCAGATGCTACCTGAGCCCTCTGCTGTGCCCCTCTCTGTTTTCTTCCCAGAGTGTTTCTAAGTGGAGCAGAGTCAGTGAATACGTCCTCTATTATGACCTAAACTGGAAACCAAAGCCCAGACAGAGCCAGCCCCACCAGAGCCAATAAAAACCTTCCAGTCAGTTCCCTGACACCACCTGCCCTTGCCCACTTCCCGCCATGGGGATGTGGCCCTGCATGGCTCACGTGGCCTGCCAGCAGCAAGGCTGAGAATCCATTGTTGAGTTAGCCAATGATGAAGGGTGACCAGCAGCAGTGGCAGCAGCCTGGCCTCAGAGAAGCCGGGAGGCAGGAGCTGCCCTTGGCCTGCAGGAGCTGCCCTTGGCCTGCAGGAGCCCCTGGCAGCTTGGCAGCCAGAGTGCCACGGGCCCAGGCCGATGCCTGCACAGGAGCCACCTCCCCACCCTGGCAGGACCTGCAGGGAACTAGCAGAGCCATAGTGTCTGTCTTCACCCTACCTCTGTTCCTGGCACCTGGGCCAGCTGCGGTTTGGAAAAGCAGAGAGCCATACAGAGGCGGAGAGGCCCCCCGAAGCTGTCGGTGGTGTGGCAACACTGGCAACACTGTCCTGTTCCAAAACTCAGATTTCATCCACAAGATCGTGTGCTCACTCAGCTTCCAAGGGCCCTGCAGCTCCGTGACCCCTTCTCCTGCCACTCCCTCCTCCCTGTCGGGGTGGGCACTCGCCTCCTCCCTCTGCCCCGACTCCTCCTGGGCTCACTTCTCCCCCAGGGCTGGTCCCCTGCTCCCTGGTACTCCACTCTCTCCACTCTCACCTTCTGGGTGGACAAGTTCACAATCCCCATCTCCAGCCTTGGCTCAGGAAAAGCCCGAGAAGACTTGTTGGGACAAGGACACCCTGCCCTGCACCCACACACAGCTGGGGCCCCCTCACCTTCTTCTGGAACTCCATTCCTTTCTATGCCACCATCTTTGGTGGACAACCTCGCCTCCCTGGTCCCTAAGAACACAGCAGCCAGCTGTGAGGATTTCTTCCTTTTTCAGAGACAGGGTCTTGCTGTTGTGGCTGGAATGCAGTGGCACAATCACAGCTCACTGCACCCTTGAACTCCTGGGCCCAAATGATCCTCCAACAGGCACATGCCACCAGGCCAACTGATTTTTTAATTTTTTTGGCAGAGATGGGGTTTCACTATGTTGCCCAGGCTGGTCTCGAACTCCTGGGCTCAAGTGATTCTTCTGCCTTGGCCTCCCAAAGTTTTGGGATTGCAGGCATGAGCCATCCCACCTGGCCCATATCTGTGATTTCTAAGGGATTCTATGCCAGCAGTAAAGGAGAAAAAACGCTCCCTCCTCCCCACCAGCCCCCTCCAGCTCCTCTTTCCTGGGAAGCTCTGGGGAGTCTTTCCCTAGGTGTGGAGGCCCAAGCGTCCACATGCTGCTGGTGGATGTCTGTGCAGAAGCCTCAGTCATATCATTCCCTTCATTGCCCAGGAGCTGCAGCCTAGTGTGAGTGGAGGGAAGATGCAGGGAGAAGGGTTCCCTCCCTCTCTATATCCACCCCTAAGCCACAGCTGCTGCTGCTGACGCCATCTCTGGGAACCCAGATGGGAGTGGGAGGTGTTCCAGGCAGCAGCCGTGAGAAGATAGAGTGGACGATGTTATTGGGGGCCTGTCTACATCTTGTGGGCCTCCGCGTGGGCTACTGACAGGTGCCTGTGGTGCCAACAGAAGCCTCCCTCGCCGCCTGTGTCAGGGCTGGCAGACGGAGCTGCTCAGTGCTGCTGTGCCATAGTCAGCCCTGCTCACTCTCTGCCTGCTCCGTGCCTTCTCGAATCTCCCACAGGGTGGAGAAGGGAGGGACATGAGAGCACTGACATTTGCCAACTTCATCAACTGAGTGTCTGCTATGTCCCAGGCAGGAGGCTGTTGCTCCATTTTACAGATGACAGGGCAGGTGCAGCAGTTGGCCACGTGCTGAAGACCACAGCGCTGCGATCAGGATTCTAGTCCAGGCCCGAGAGGCTCTGAGACCCAAGCTCCTTCCCCCAAGCTGCTACCTTGGCTCCTGTGCCACTCCCAGCACTGCCAGGGCCTCCAGGCCTGGGTGCTGCCTGGAGGAGGGAGAGGCTGCAATCCTAGGCGCTGCCTGGAGGAGGAGGACCCCAGAGCCTTTTTCTAAAGAGTGCTTTGGGCTCCCCACTGACTGAGAAGGGGACTCAGAAGGCTGCCTTCCTTAGGTGAGCAGGGCCCCATCTGCCCTCCAGGCCAGCCATGAGTCATGCAGGCAGAGGACTGACAGCAGGCGTGACCTGGTTGGCTAGGGAGGAAGTCAACAACTGTAGTTTCGTAGTTAGTGTGGGGGCAAGGAATGTGGACAGAGACTGACCGAGGACCCTCTAGGCCGGGGTGCCACTGATCTTGCCAGTAACAAGGCAGGAGTGAGGGGCAGAGGAGAGAAGGGCTAGAGAAGGGCTAGTGGCTGCTCTGAGCTGAGGGAAGGCACTTCAGGCCACCAGGGAAGATGGGCAGCAGTGGCTGAGGTGCGTGGGAAGGAGAGGGACCGGCGCACCCTGGAGTCCGGTGGAGGGGGGCGGCCATGATTACTCAGGAAGCCACAGACTGTAATCAGGCTCTCCAGGCTCATTAGGGTCCAGCCACAGCTGACCTCACGTCTGGGACCATGGAGTGGCTGGCTCTGTGGTCTGCGCTTGGGATAGGGAGGAGGGGGTGGGGTGAGCAGAGTGCCCAGTGTCTTGGGGCATCAGCACTGCCCACCCATGGGAGGGGCAGTGCATGGCCCAGGAGGAACCCACAGTACATCTTATGGTCAGAGGCAACTGGCCGGCTTACAAGGACAGAAGAAAATAAAACAAAGGGGTGCCTCTGGAGGGACTGGCCTGGTGCTGTGGGAGGCACATTGGCGTGGACATCGGGTGCCCAGTGTTTGAGTCCCAGCTCTCATATTAGCAAAGCGGGTGGCTTGGGCTCAGGCTCCCCTATGCTCCATGAGAATATTGGCCTGGCTCAGGGACTCTCAAACCTGCTTGTTGCCAACTGAGGGCTGTTAAAAACATGCCCATAGGCTTTTACTTCAGCTTACGATGGACTAGTTTATGACAGATTCAACCTCCCAGGGAGAACAAACAGAGCGGTTAGAGAAAGACCAAAACATCCTTCTGCAGGCTTTGGAGGGATACCAAGGGCCAAGCTCCTGGAGAAGAGAGGCCTCGTTGAAGTCAGCCTGACATCTTTTCCTCTCCAGGCATTTGTGGATTTGTGATTGGTTTGGGCAGAGAGGCTTAGAAACCAACAAAAGGCTGCAGCTATTAGGCTGAGAAGCTGAGTGGCGTTTTCAGCAGCATCACAGGGCTGAGAGAACAAAAACTGGGTCAGGGCCACCAAACCCTCTTCACTGCCACCTCCCCAGGTTGCTCCTTGGGCCTGAACAGCAGAATGACATGACAGTCCGCTTTTTCCTCCTTCACATGTAAACTCCTGAACACTTCAGCGTGGAAGTAGGATGGAGGGTGGTGCTTATAGAACACATTTGCAGATTGAATCCCTTTGTATCTTGCCCATCTTGGGCTTCTACCTTTTGTTCACACTTTCATTTATTCGTTCACCGAGCAAACATTTCTTGTACTATCCAAGAGCCAAGCACTCTGCTGGGTCCTCGATGAGTAACACAAGGAACCTAGGTCTCCAAGCAATTTATCATCATAATAATCTTTTATGCAGGGCACCCTTTCATATTTTACAGGAACTTGTTCACACCCATTGTGAACACTGATCCTCACAATTACCCTATGGGATACAGGCAGGAAAGGCATTAATATTTCTATTTGCAGATGAAGAAACTGAGTTCAAAGTGTGGGCCGGGCGCGGTGGCTCAAGCCTGTAATCCCAGCACTTTGGGAGGCCGAGACGGGCGGATCACGAGGTCAGGAGATCGAGACCATCCTGGTTAACATGGTGAAACCCCGTCTCTACTAAAAAATACAAAAAACTA